TGATCTACAGACTTTCATAGAGATCGAATTACAAACGAGAGGCGGAATGCAAATACAGTCGGCATTACCTAAGGCGGTATTTGTCACAAAAGGTTTTTACAGGGAAATTTTTTTGTAATTCAAGCCCTTTTTAATACCAATGGGCTAATCGGATTTGATTTTATTTTTCATGAATAAATTTGATGTTCAATTAATATGATAATAGCCTTTTAAAATACTGCAAACTTTTATTTAATATTAAATATAGATAATTACACTTATAAAAGAGCTTATTTTTGGTGCCAGCTTGTTTGTCTTTGCTTGGTTTCCTGCAGAAATTCGCTAAGTTTGGATTGAAATATAAAATGACTTGGCCAGTTGCAGTCATAATGAAATCTTTGGTCTGGCTTTAGAAACTGGTTAGCGAACTTTAAGCCAAATAATTAACTTCCTTTAGATGCTTTTTTAATGATAGGAAATATACGTAAATACATAGCTGATGGAGTCATCGTTAATTAATAATAAAAAATACGTTATAAAATTTAACGAGCTTTAGATTAATAAATAATGATATAAACAGATGGAGTTTAAAAAAATCAATCTTGTATCTAAGAAAAAATTATTTTAAAATGTGCAACAATTATTAATAAAAATATTAAAATATGTTGTTTAACTGGAGGATTTTATAACCGAATATTATTTTATTAAGTCTTAATATAGAGACACCCCTCTTTACAACATTCATTAACATATTTCGATTGCACAATTGTCAGGTTAAACAATAAAGTCTGTACACTTGACCAGGCAAAAAGTGGAAACAAATAAAAGTGGACCTTAAATATCAAATAATAAAAAGCCAATAAATACAAAAGCGTATGCAAGCTCGAAGGCCCCGAAGACCAGATCGTGGCTCTATATCCACGCTTACAACCACATCCACATCCACCTCGCAACTTCCCGGACCTCTTGTGACCACCTTTTGGCCAGTTTTCCCGCCATCGGTTTCCCACGCTGGCCTGCAGCTGCTCGGATCGGATCTGAATGGATCGGATCGGTATGGATTGGATCGGATCGGATCGGCGATGTCGAGAATGCCCAGTTGGTGGCTGATACGAGTATTCTAATGCGACCGGGACACGGATAGAGATTAATTAATATTGCAACTCGTTAAGTGGCAAGCTGGCTTTTTTGCAATTCATTGTTTCACCACGGAAATTCCAATACCAGTTTTTCTCCTTTCAGGAACTCCATCTTTCGGCTTCCCTAAAAAGCTGAGCTCAAGTTAATTATCGTTTAATGTTTGCATGACATATACCAGTAATCATCGTGATATATGATCGTCGATGACGCGATTTTGGTGTAGATGTCCATAAAAAAATAAACTAAATATATATGTTGAACCTAGCGATTGTCCGCTAAATATCAAACACAATCTTGAGAGTTTTTTTTTTTATTTGTATATAAATTTTTTTTTCATTCAGTTTTGTGTTTTTTTTTCGTGTTCGTCAAGGTCTTTTGGCGGCAAAGTCAGACAGCGATTTATGAGAGGGGTGTTGCCTTTTATAATTTGGCAAAGCTATTTGCTCTGTTGATGTTGTATAATATTTGCCTTTGCCCGGAATACATGTATAATTTCGAAGCCACTTATCGCTCTACGTGGAAGATCTGCGGGGGCGTGGATTTGGCCCCTGAGAAAACGCTTTAATGTCAAGTGTGGCTCACAGAATTTCGACTGGCTTTCTGGCATTGTTAAGGCTTAAATCACTCGAGAAGCCAAAAAACTGTGTTTTCAACAAGTTTTGTTTTTTTGTGAATTGATTGCTTCTCTGTTTTGGGCACATTTCATCAACATCAACTGCTTGTTCACTCAATTAGATGTTGAAACTGAGGACGTTGCCATGGCTCTGGACTTTTGCCTCCGATTCGGGGGCACTGAATTATGGATTGAGCGGTGAAGAGCTTGTGAACGAACATTGAGCATTGTTTATTGCCGGTCCACTTTAATTGTTTCCCATGCCAACCTATTTATAGGATTTATATTTGTTTTTCTTACTTGAGGAAGCTGTAACAAACTGATTTTCCTTGACTGCTTGCTACCCAATAGTTTATGTGTTCGTCATTAAACTTATAAAGTGGGAAGGTTTAGATTTAAGGAAGTAGATCTTGACTTTGCCAAAAACATCAAATTTGGTTATAAAAACTGCCAAATTTGTTAAGAATGCTTAGAAGTTTTTAATGTCTTTTTAAATGCGGCAATTTATCTCTTGTATACCAATAAAAGGTGTCCTAATAAGCTTAATTAAAAAAGATAATAATTTTCAGATCAAGTTTTCATTTAAAAATGAAATAGCATTTAATAAAATGAAACCAGATTTAGTTATAGATATAGTCCTAATAAGTTTGATTAAAAAAGATAATTTTCAGATCAAGTTTTCATTTAAAGATGAAATGGCTTTTAATAAAATAAAACCAGATATAGTTGTTTTTAAAATTATTCCTTTGAATTGTGTAAACTACAATTTCATATTCTTTTATATTAAAGCTAATAATTTTAATAAACAGAAGATACATTTTAGATCCCTTTTATATCGGTTTTTATGGACGCAAATAAATAAGGTTAAACAAAGTGAAATCGTGAGTAACTTTTATTTTTATTTATTCCCGAATTTATTCAGCTATAAGTACATGTAATAAAATGCCAGTAATGGCGTTTCAAATCGGTGTTGAGAATCAAACGAAACCCATAATTTTGTGTCGAACGATACCCCAAAAAAAACATCCTAAGGAATTCAACTTGGCTGAGATCGGTGGCCTGCACATTCAGCAATCAGCGATCAGAAATCGGTGCCAAAACCGGTTGCCATCACTGATTCAATAAGCATTCAACTTAGCATCGATCTGCGAGTCGATCGCTGATTTATATAGCCCGAGTGCAACCGCGGAATTTCAGATACATTTTCCAGTATAATTTGCACGCAATGAGTGTGCAAGCGACACGAGGCATTAATTACACGTGATGACATCATTGTCATCTGTCGGTTTTTGCAGATTTCAATTGCATACGCTCTCAAATGTCAAATGAAAGTTGCAGCTGTCTCACTAATTCATACTATATATGTAGTATTATATGTACCTGCATAATAGTTGGTTTTGGTTTTGGGCTTTTGTTGGCTGTCAGATTCACACGCAAACTCAAGATGGGAAGATTGCGAAAGCTGGGAGTCTGCGGATTGTCTATTTGCGGATACTAACTTGGCTTTATATAACCAACCGACTTGCCCAGGGTGATTAGCACTGATTGATTTGTGTTTTTTTCTGCTGTTTTATTGATGATCGTCGAGCATTTGCATACGGGAGTTTCGTTGGCTCAAAGCCAATGATTCGCTGTTTTCGGTTAACACGTATACGCACCGTGTGCAGCTGCAAATTGGCCGCTTAAAACCTGTATGCTGTAAAACCGCAACAGCAACAGCAAAAAAAGATACCCACATTACGTAACTTTCGCTGCATCCCGCGAATTACGCCGATGACCATGAGCACTCGCTTGGTGCAAAAAAAAAAAAGAAAAAAAAAAAACTTATCATTGCTAACTCTAATTGTTACCGAATTCGGCGCAATCACGAGCACAACTCCATGTTGACCCCAAAACACAAGACCCGGCACAATAAAAGACACACAAAATTATCATTATTATCAAAACATTGTCATCAAAAAATAACAAAAAAAAAATAAAGAGACAGAGGGAAAACTAGAAACACTTGGCCGCTGGCGTTGGTTTTGAATTTCCAGATGCTGCTGCCGCTGTCCGTGCAACTTTTATTGGATGCCGAGCGTGCTAAGCATGGCTGGCTTTTAAGCATAAACATCGCCAGCGGCGAAGACACGAAAAAATAATACAGAAGAAAAATAACCCAGCCAAACCAAACCAAACCAAAAACCAAACCAAACCGAAAACTAAGCAAAAACCAAAAGCAAGTTCTGTTATGCACAGTGGGCTGGTTGCATGGGGAAAAATGGAAAACTATGGGAGCTGCAGATATACAGCAGATAAGCCAGAGCCATTTGAAAACGCTTTTCATTGTGCTGACGCTCCGAGAGATATGATAATATCGTTAGGTAAGGGCTTATGTCAAGAAATTTCCACGGCAGCCGTTGCTGCCATCACGATTGTCATTTCGGGCAAAAGAGAAAGCAATAAATTAAATGCACATAAAGCCATTAAATTTCACTCATTGATCCATTTGGTATTGGCATTTGTACGGGTCCATCGCCCAAAGCCAATTCCGCAGATTGCAGTTTGTGTCTGCCAAATGACCAAAGTGCCTTTTTTCACTCGAATTTTTAGGAGACTGGGTTTCCTTACCGGGTTTCCTCTGTTGTTGCTCAGTTGGTAAGTTGCTCTGTTGACAAATGACATAAGCACTTCGGCCATCGAAAGGCGAACAAACTGTGTTTAGCCAACAAAAGATCGAATCATGCTCATATAAGGCCAGTCTTTAGCCGCCGTTTGGCTGACACTTTCAGGGTCAACCGGTGCGTAATCGAAGAATTCACCGCCCCCGCAATCAGTTCAGCGATTGCGGAAATCGAAACCGAAGGTGGAAGACAACCTTAAGGTGCTCAAAATGCAATTCCACTGAGCCAAAAGAGCAAATTGATGGCAAATAAACAAGTTTCACAGTGAGAAAGAAGATATTTAAAAATAATAATATTTACTCATGAATAAAAAAAACATTTTTGAACTTTAAAATCTGATTAAAAACTATTTGAATATTTTTTACCATAAAACAATAATTGTTTTGTTAGGTAAAAAGTATTTATTTGAATCGAAACTATGTTTGAATATTCTATAAAAAATCTAACGCATCTACCATTGATTAAAGACTTGTGTCCTTGGGTTTCTAGCACTGTACACTCGTCTGTGCATCCACACAACTTCCTCTACCATATATATATGGGAATTTATTCCACGGCACGGCTGTGGGCTACAAAATAAATAAAAATACGAAAAACTGGCTTACCTTCTCTCCTCATTGTTATACAGTTGAACTGGTGGCGTTGCTGCTAGAGTATTGTATTGTTTCGCTTATTTATTGTTAACGCTTTTTGCCAGCCACTGCGACAGGTTGTTAGTTTCTGGCTGCTGTACACATTTCATTACACTTCACTTGGCACTGCAGTGCCGAAAAACCCGAAAGCCAAAAAAAACAAACAGGGCAAGATATGTGGATAAATATTAATATAAATAAAGGCGATGACGTCGTCCCCTTCGGAGTTATGCAAATGCGTTGGTGTAAGCACACTCTGTACTCTGTTAGTGTGTGTGTGTGGGCCAAAAACCTTTACTGGTTCTGGCCAAAATGCCAGCCAACACGTAAATACTTGGAATAGAGCGCGATTCATGGCAGCGATTATATCATACACATATAATCGCTGCCATGAATCGCTGAATGAATGAATGAAAGGCGTTGCAGCTTCTCCCAACTTGGTTTCAATCGGTTCAAAGCGGCCCAAACACAATGGCCAACGGCCAACGGCCAACGGACTTCGGAACTCGTCTAACTTAGCTCAAATCTTCTCGGCCTAAAGTTAGTTTTTTTTTTGTATTTTTTTTTTTGCGGCGGAACAGCAAATTGCAGCGCCATAATGAAATCGCCCATAATCTTGGCTAAGGCTAATAATAGCAGCAGGTTTTGGAGCTGGCCAACACACACACACACACACACACACACGCAAAACTCTGGCTTAGACACAGATACAGATGGTGAGCAAATTTGGCCAGCACTCTGTTTGTTCTTTTTTTTTTTTTTTCAAGTCGGGCGTTTACTTCACGCCGAAAAAATTCAAATGACACTCACGTAATCCGCTAAAAATAGTTGAATTTACTGCGCGTTTTTTGTTTATTTGTTGTTGTTGCTGGAGTACAACTTTGTTTTGCTTTTGTATTGTATTGTTTGTCAATCTCGGCGATTGAAAATGCACCGCAACTCGGGGGAGAGAAATCCAAGCGAACGCGTCGCGATCTTGGCTTAAACTGATCGCTCGGGAGTTGCGACAACGTTCCAGCACCTGTGAGTGGTCTAAACTGGTCTAAAACGCGGCTCGAACCGGTTTCGCTCTTGGCCAAATGGCCAGGAGTCTCTCTCTGGCATGTTCGGGCTCTTTCCCAACTTTTGTACTCTCCGGTTTTTGCGGCTCTGCCGGTCTCCGCCATCTGCACTTTGCACTTTTGGCGACGGCATTTTCTTGTCAAACTGCAAAAACTGAATTTAATAACCGTTAACCGAAACTTCTGCAACACGTGCACTCCATTCGCACACAGAAAAAAATAATGTTTTCATACAATGTTCGTTTTAATTAAAGCTTGGGTAGAAAAATAAAAAAAAATGGAACATTTTTTAAAGCAAAGTTTATATTAATGGGTTTTCATTTTATGTTCTCGTTATAAAATAAACAAACATCTTGTATATGAATTCAGAATTTTCTTATATATAACTAGTGAGTTAATATTCATAATATAAATACAAGCTACCCACACAGTTCATTAATTTCTCAGAAAAATTAGTAGTATTAATTAGCACGGTGAAAACAACAAAATATTTTGATTGCGTTCGTTTTCTTGATAATCATATTTTATCTCAGACACATTTAAAAATATATTTCCTGAAATGTAACCAATATATAATTCTGTATTTAATGTAAAAATATGAGTAGTTTAAATTTTAAGGAAATTATAAAAAAAACGGAAGGATTTGTATATTCGTATAGGATTGTAAGATTAACAAATTTTTAAAGTTTTTTAAATTTGGTTGAAAAATTTACATTTGACATTCGTTTTAATTACAGCCGGCTAATGGTAGGCATATTAATTATATTTTTTTCAGTGCAGTGGGAGGTCGACGTTCCTGGGGTTGGAGGTGAGGTGCATCGCATCGGAGGCTTACTACATTAGGCCTCATTGCCTGACAGGCACCACTTTTGGCCAGCTGCCGCACGTGACTGTGCAATGCTTTTGCCTGTTGGCTGTTGACTGTTGGCTAGAGCATTAGGGGTCAGGCAGTGGGGCATAAGTTGGGGCATAAGTTGGGGCATAAGTTGGGGCTTAATTTGCATCATGTCATTAATGTGAGTGGCATCGATAACACTGTGCGACAAAATTTAACAAAATCTTTGTTTAAGTTACTTTTTTGATTGTTTTCGGTTAAGGTGCATAAATTATGCACAAAAATATCTATGCCACCTTTTAAGTGATACGATTTCTTTTTTCATGGTAAATTTTATGAAATTATTATTATGAAAATAATTAACACAAAATATTATTTTTTTTGTTTACTTTCAATAAACTATTATTTTTTTAAAAGTGATTTTTTTTTCCTGATTTTTTTGAGTTTTTGAGAGGTATCCTCGCGTTACAAGTTCCATACGTAGTCGCCCAGAGTATAGAGCTGGGAGAAAAATTTTTTAAAGCATTGTGATTTTAAATAATAGATATTGAACTTGCATGAACGCTTATAACGGTGAAAAAATATTTTCCCAATATGTGATTATAAGGCTGTGAAATATGCAAAAACGCGCGTTTTTGGGACATTTGAGTGTGTGTAAAAGCTGACTGGCTATTGATATTAAGTTAAGTTATTAAGCGAACGACGGATCTCTGTAAATGCCAAAAACCTAAATTCCTTGTTAATTGTTAAGCTAAACTCAAAATAAATTAATTTAAAAGAAAACAGCTAATTTTTTCGTAAAAATTTAATGCTAAAATAGTACACAACGTACCACTGTGCAACGAAACGAACACAAATTATTGAAAAGACTTTTTTCGTTGACTTTTTCAGTCAATCGATCTTTTAATAAGTCTCACTGCGCAAGCGTCACTCGTATCGCTCACAAAAACAAAGTCTCCTGCTCAGAGAGAGAACGAGACTGAATGCTTTTTTTCGGTTGTTATCTCGAGCAGAACGTATGATATTAACAAATCCACAAACTTATATTCTTACTTTGATTAGGAGAAGAGAAAAAAGGGGCCAGACCGCAGATCCCAGGCTTGGTTCACTTTTCCCCAAAAAACCCGTTTCGGGTTCAAAATATTATACAGTAGAATCCTGTTATAACTACTCCGCTTATAGTGTCCGTCCGGGTATTGCGACGAAAACTCGATGGCTTGATTGCTCCCCAGACAGACTTATACCCTTATATCCTTTTGCTTATTGCGTCTTCCGGGTATAACGACGAAAACTCGTCGGTCCCTTCAAAGTCGCTATAAGCGAATTCTACTGTAGTTGAATCCGCCCACGTGCATTGGGCGGACTGTGCGGCATCTGCGAAATCATCTTTGGCTTATACAAATTCTCTCCAAACAAAACTCGTACGTTTGACGTAATCCATACAAAAGTACATTCCAATTGAATGAATTTCATTTTCATTATACCCTTGCAAAGCAAAAGGGTATTATAATTTCAGTCAGAAGTTTGCAACGCAGTGAAGGAGACACCTTAGACCCCATAAAGTATATATATTCTTGATCAGCATCACCATCTGAATCGAAATATGTATGTACGTCTGTCCGTCGGTCCGTCGGTCCGTCTGTCCGTCTGTCTGTTTCTATGTAAACTAGTCTCTCAGTTTTAAAGCTATCTTGCTGAAACTTTCCCAAAAGTTGTGTAGCTATTGCACGCAGTATATAAGTCGGATCGTGCCGGATCGGCCGACTATATCGGATAGCTCCAATACAAGAGAATGAAATAAAAAAATCTTACGCCGTTGTTTTTTATCAGATTGACTTTATATCTTCCATATGGCATTTTCTAACTACTATTGAATTTCGATTTAAATTTTATCAAAATCGGACAACTCTATCATATAGCTGCCATAGGAGAGATCAAAAAATATATATAGAATTAATGGAAATAAATTTATAACATCGTTGTTTTTTATCCCACGAGAATGATTTTTTCAATATGAAGTTTTTAAACAACTCTTATATTGAGAAAAAAGTTTCATAAAAATCGGACAACTATATCTTATAGCTGTCATAGGAAAGATAGAAAAATCTATATAGAAATAACGGAAATAAAATTATAACATCGTTCTTTTTCATCAGATAAGCATGATTTTTGGATAATAATGTTTTCTAACGACTCTTAAATTACGAATTAAATTTGTTAAAAATCGGACAACTATATCATATAGCTCGAAAATGTGGAAAATGAATAGAAAAATCGTCTTAGCTTCAATGTTGTTTAGCCTTTGTGTATTTTGTTCGACATATTTAATGAATGCAAGGGTATATAAGCTTCGGCATGCCGAAGCTAGGTTCCTTTCTTGTTTTTTTTAAATTTCGCACTGCCAGTGATAGTGGTCAATCAGAAGTTGTTAGGATCACACCTGTCGTGCTCCCATTCGTGTTTAACTCGAAATAAACGAATAATCTAAATAAACTAATTACAAGTAATTTACTATATGGCGACCACTTACAAGGTGACAAGAAATATCCCGGAAACTTGTTCAGTTTCGGCAGTGAACTTAAGCCCTGCTCACACTTCATTATTTATAAATATACCTACTAATAAACCCGGCGAACTAGTTGTGTGTTAATTTTCGTTTGGTGATTAAAAGTTAAAGAACATTTTTTTACAATATTACCAAAAATTCCCCTATTTCGACAACCCTTCCTGGGAATGGCAAATAGTGGTTTTTCAAAAAGCATCCCTACATCAAGTTGAGAGTCGAGATAAAGCTCGAAACTCCAGCTTACTGTCTTTCCGTTTGAAGTCGTGCTCATGTCTAAAAATAAATATACAGTGCACGCCAAAAGATGCGTGGAAAGTTTTTAAGCCATTGCAACCGAATCCATCCAACACTTTACAATGGATTTCTGGGGCTATGTATGCTGGGGCAAACCCAGCGGGAAAGTGAGAAGTAGGTTTTTATTTGAGTGGAAAACCTACTTTTTTTTAGCAGACGAAGGTGTAGGGATAGACGATTTCGGACCGATTTCGGGGGTGGGTTTCTGAATTTTACCATAATTTTTACCAAAGTAAGGACAATTTTGTTTAGCGGTAAGGGCCAAATCCAGTGGATTTACACAATACATATTTTGGGAATTTTTGTGGTGCTTCTGTGCACATTTAACCCCTATACAACCCAATACATTTTTTTTGAGGAATTTAAATTTTTAATTTTTCAAAATTTAAAATTTGGTTATAGTTGGAAAATTATTAAGGGAGCATTTTAAGAATTTGAGCATTTTGGAAACTTCCAAATTTGTCCGGGTTATTTCTTGTCACCCTGTATGATTAATTTTCTACAATACTAATGAAAATAATTAAATACTAAAAACTCTACATAAATGAAACAGTATGATTATGTGAATCATCGCCACTTAGATGCTATGAAAATGATAACCTTTACCTTAACTCTTTTATATTTGCACAGAGCGCCTTGGAACTTGCTTACTGGAATTTTAACATGCTTTATTATGTTTTGCTTCTGATCCTAAGTTTCTGTTTGCCACTTTTTGCGGCATCCAGTAAATACAGTAAGTAGAAACAAAAAAAGAAGCTAGCTTCGGCAAGTCGAAGCTTATATACCCTTGCAGTCATCAAATATGTCGAACAAAATACATAAAGGCCAAACAACATCGAAGCTATGACGATTTTTCTTTTAATTTTCCATATTTTCGACTATTGTTCATATGGCAGATTTTGATAAAATTTAATTCGTAATTCAAGAGTCGTTAAACTCTATTTTACAAAAATCATTTTTTTCTGATGAAAAACAACGATGTCATAATGTTATTTCCGTTATTTCTATATCGATTTTTCGATTTTTCCTATGGCAGCTATATGATAACGTTGTCGGATTTCAATATACTTCTGAATTTGTATTTAAGATTTTATCTCCTCAAGAACAAATGAGTTATTATAATAAGTGACCTAATGCAACTCTAATCTAATTAACAGCCAGGTTTGCATTGATTGGATTCGCCTCTGAATTTTAATCAATTTCATTTACTTTTTTGTCTAGGCTTTATTTCTTGCCATCTTGACGAAAACTGCCAAAGATTGCACTCGTGCAAACACTTGTTTAGTAGTATACGGTCCATTTCCAATATTGATGCCATGTATAATATCTGGGAGGAGCGACGATGTGAACGCGATAACTGTAAAAGAAAACCCAAAGATTGTTTCGTGTGCTGTCCAAAACCAGGAAACTACCTGCCAAGAATTTCGGAATGCACAGAAACCCCTGCACTTACAACTACATCTAAACCCGCCTTCCGAATATCGGGCGGAAAGGAGCCGCCGCTGCATAAGTATTCCTGGATGGCCATGCTTCTTTACCGGGACCTCACTGTTTCGAATCCGAAGCTTGAGGCCCGTTGCGGAGGATCCTTGATCAATAACCGCTACGTCCTGACCGCAGCCCATTGTGTGAAGCTAGTCGGAGACTTACTTCTTAAAAGGGTTCGCCTTGGCGAGCACGACAGCTCCACCGATACGCATTGCCAACAAAGGTTCGGAAGAAGGATATGCGCTCCCCCTCCTCTGGAAATAAATGTGGAGAATGCTTTCGTGCATGAAAAATATAAACGCTACAGTGAACACCACGACATCGCTCTTTTGCGTCTTCAATCTTCCGTTCGGTGAGTTATATGGTTACTGGTTAAAAAGGTACTTTTTATTCAAAATAACCTACTTTTTCAGCTACACTGACAGAATAAAACCGATCTGTCTACCGAATGCCTTCTTCAGCCTGAAAGATCATGACTTGTTCGTAGCAGGCTGGGGCTATACGGGTCTTCAAATAAAAAGCCATAAACTGCTTTCGGCAACCGTTAAGGAGACGAACTTTAAAGTCTGCTTCGATCAGTTTACGCACAAAAAATTCAGGAATGATACCCAATTATGTGTCAGTGGCAAAAGTGGAGTGGAAGAGAGCTGTGAGGGCGATTCCGGCGGTCCTTTGATGACAAAAAATGGAGACATTTGGTACGCAATTGGTATCGTTTCCTATGGACCACCTTGCAATCAAACAAAATGGCCAAGTGTTTACACAAAAATTGCCCCATATTTCAAATGGATACGAGCCCATTTAAAGCCCTAAAATCATAGGTTCTGTCTTGGGCTTATGGTTTTTACAATCATTTAACATTTTTGAATTTTACGCTTTGTTTGGTCCAGCTCAAACAACTAAAATAACACCCTTTTTTATGCTCTTAACATAATAACTAAAAACTATTGTAAATTGCCCTGCGAGGCAATTTTCTTAACCATTGCTTTGTTTTTCGCTTATCACTTATCACTTCTTGTCAAGCTCATGCAGCTGCAATGCCGAAAATAGTTAGTCAGTCGTGGCTAGATCGCTGCAATTAACGCTCAAGCCAATTCAGGTTTGTCTGCGCACTTTTTTGTGCCGTAGCCCTCAAGCCGCTAATAAATAAACTATTATATTTAACAAACATAAGGGAATTTAAAATAAACTGAACTATAACGCTAGAAAATACTTTGTAATAATTGCCATTGGAGTTAACTAAATTAAATTTATAAAACTAACTCTTTGTGTTCTCTTGCCAAAAAATAGTTAGTAAAAAGGCTCGCTAACTCAACACACTTTTATTATTTACACTTTTTTAACGACTCATGAATTTTGAATTAAATTTCATAAAAATCGGGCGACGGTATCATATAGCTGTCATATAAAAGTTGACGAAAATATGGAAAACTAGATGACCCGGCGAACTTCGTACTGCCTTAGCGCAGCTTTGATGCAATACTTTATTTAGTATAGCTCACCTATCTTACGTGTGAGTACCTATTCAATTTGAACTGGAATCTATTAAATCTATATATATAAACACATCTACACAATTAACACGGGATTAACATATTTTGCACCATCTACATGGTTGTAAAACTAAATAAAATAGTTTATTTACCTTGAAAGTAGGCATAAAATTGTCTCGAATAACTTTTGTTGCGCAAACTTTCGGGAATTTGTTTGTTTATGCAAACAGAAAGTGGTAGTTTTTGTAAAAATTTTTGTGAAGGTATATGAGTATGAGTACATTTTTTTAAATTTCTTGGAATTATAGGATTTAATCCTGACACAAGGGTATCCTGTGCACACTTTCTTTGTCTATTTCAGGATCTTGTTCTCCATCAGTTTTTGTGCGAAAAAAAACTATCTTTTTTTGCGAAATTTGTTTCATCCTTGCAGTACGTTGTACGTTACTTTTTGTTTACTTTACGCATCAGGCGCAGCTTGAAAGGACCTCTGATGTTTGTTCTCCGGCACTGCAAGTCGTAAAAAGTTCCTTGTGTGCGCTCTGTGTCCTCTGCCCTGGTGTCATAAAAGTTGCATAAAACTGCACAGATTTCTCAAACGGAGTGTCGTGAAAAAGTTTAGGATATGCCTTAAATACAATGGCACATCCACCAAATACACACGTGTGCATGTCTCAAAGGATGGCTTTAACCTGACCCTTGCCACTCTCTGTCTTTAAGCGGAAAGACAACTCGTTTGTACGTCATGTGCAGGAAAATGGCTGACAAGACAGGAAAAACGGCGGCCTCGCATGTGTCGGGATTTAATTTAGATAAAAGCTTTTCCACACTTTCACTCCGAACCTTTGACGTGCACCAGATAATGCCGCAAATCAATTCCGTAAACATTTTTCCCGGCCGCAACCCCGTCAGCAAGACGACAATTTATTTTCATAAGGCTGACGTTTCGCCAGTCGCTCAGATTGATTCTAGCTTATCAGTCGAAGAAAGGTCCTAAGAAAATTTAATTTTTCACACATACTCCCATCTGGAAACAATTACTTAAGTAGGAGTTTGGTGAAAAGATGTCACGTCATCATGTGAATTTAATGAATCAAACAATCGCTTTCCAAATCCAAGAATTCACTAATTCTAAGTCTATAACTTTTCCAATTCTGATCAGATTTTGAAGTAGTGTACCTCTAAAAATTTGTATTTTAATTCCTTAACGAACTGCATCATTAAAAAATTTTTTAATTTTTTTTTTTTTAATTTTTTCGAAAGAAAGAATTGTAGTGTCGTATAATTGGATTCTCTTGTATAAAAATTGATGTTGATATTGTTGATCTATGTACCAAATAATTTCTTTCAATGTACACATATAAGTTCCCCAAAAGCTGAAAAAAGAGAAATAAGTTCCATTTCGACCTGATACTTACTTTAAGTTACCTTTCATCGAACCCTTTTCCATTTCCAGCGAATCGCACACCGAGTAAAAGACAGTTGCAAGTTAATTATTCATTGACATTTATTGATTGAATTTGATAATGTTTTTTCTGCAGCATTTGTTGAATTTACATTGAATATGTGTTCAAGGGTTTCCTTCGTTCTTACTCTTATTTACCTATCGATTTGATTTGATTTGATATTAGCTGTTGCACAGACACAAAATTATGTACTTAGGGTTAAGAGTTTGCGGTGTTTTATTGTTTAGGTATCTTTCTTTTAGATATTTACGGAGGGGAGCTTAGGAACCTGAATTGTGGCCCGTTGTTAATTGCAATACACACACTCACATTTAAAAAACTATATATATTTTTGTTTGGTTTTCGGTTGTTTTTTGTTCGAAAATATTCATATCAAGTTTCGGCGGTAGAGTGTTCTATAGTTCTATCTTGGCATACAAAAAATACATTAGCCATAAATACTTAGTATCTTTCGAAGGGTTTCGTGTGTGGTTTTTTTTTTGTAAAAGTTTGCCCTGAATGAAACGGGGAAATAAATACTTGTAACGTATATTATCGAAAATAGTTTTTCTAGTTTATCATCTGCTGGTCGCTTGTAAATGTGGCAATTAAAAGTATCTGCATTTGCATTTGCGTTCTGTAAATGTAGGAGGGCTCTTGTATGTTTTCTTTGTATTCTGTAACTAGCACAACAATTGCACATTCAAATATATATGTATATATATATAGTAATATTTATAGTAGGTATTTGCATGTTTTGGCCTTGATTTTCAATAGTATCAGTTGCTTGTGGGTTTTGTTGCGGTTTGGGAAATGCGTTTGGTCTCATTGTTGTTGCCAATTTTCGCATTCTTTATCAGATTCGCATTTAAATGAGATTTGTTTACTTTTGTTTACATTTATCCTACTCTCGGCTTGCTTCACGTATTTTTTAGCTAGTACTAGTAACATGAGTAATTAAATTTGATTTTATTTATTTATTATTGGTTGCCCACGTGTGTGTGTGTGTTTGAGTTTGTCTATTCGATATAGGAAATTATCATAGGTACACATATCAACACAGTAGTTATGGTTGGTTAGTACAGCAAACACTTGCTCTCATATATTTATGTTTATGCATTTAACTATTTATTTGTTTATTTCTTTAGTGGTTTTGCTGCACAAGATTTGGAAGATAAGAGTTTGAAGTGGGGAGTTTAAATTAACGAGTGCCCTTGGAAGATACAGAGTGAAGGAGGAGTTTCAGTAGTGGAACACAGCATATAGACTCTATATTATATAGAGCACTTGAAATCAGGTCGTACAGCGTACTCTACTTCGATGTTTGTCCTTAAGGATCACAGCTTCCTGCTGCCAGGATATTATTTGCTGATCCTTGTCGATGTCTTGGCGATGGCAGACTAACGAAGTTGAAGAAAAATCAAACTTAACAAAGTAAAATTATTTAATAAATTGTTTCAGACGATAAAGGCTGTGCAAGTATTTCAAACAAAGGGTTTGTCTTACAAACTAAATACATGATTAACGATTAATTATTTATCCATTTATCTATATAATTATATTCTTGTTTGCGTAATACTCCGTTCACTTGTAATTAACAATCGTGAAATGTTCTTGTAGTGTAAATATTAAAAATAGTTGTAATTTGACTTGGATTTTCATCTTTGTTTGTGCATCTTTAGTAGTTTATCTTTGGTTTTCTTCTTCACTAAAATTGTCCTCAGCCACGCCCACTGCCTCCTTAGCGAAAGGTATAAAAAGTTCTTGCTACAGTTTACAGTTAAGAGTTACAGTTTTCAACAATTCTCCCATTTTATATTATATAACGTATAGTACACACAGCTTAACCGCGTGTATAGGTTTAAGTTTCTTCATTACAGAGACCGTTGTATATAGTACAAAATTTACAATAGAAGCGAGACCTTCTTCTGTGTGGAAAAAACCAATGTGGGGATAAAGGGGAAAGGGGGGAGGGGAGGGATATTGGATTTTAAATCGGGGAAAAAGCCCTAAGTTGTGTATAAGCAAAAGAGCTGAAGGCTGCCTCTCGGGGGACAAGCGCGTGTCTAATAAATTTATACAAAATCTGTGCTCAGAAAATAGTTTACAAATATACTTTAGACTTAGTTACACTGTTCCTTTGGGCGTGATATAAAATGTACAAGTCCCGTGTACATATATCTCATATATCTCGTATTTTCGTATTGTAAATAGCTTTCTCCTGTTTGTCTGGATGTGATTATGTTCGGTGTTTGTGTTTCAGTTTTTCATTTTTCGGGGGTTTCAAAGAAGCTCAGAGTTACGCAGATTTTGATTGTTTCCTTGAAAGGATTGTTGCCGTAGAAAAGGATCTGTATATTTAGGTATACTTGTTGCTGATATATATACTCGTATAGTTTAAATTGACCCAAAAAGTGTGTGTTGTGTACAAGTGATATTTACGCGTTTCTCAGGAAATTACTTACTTAATAATCTTAACCGTGTTTTTTTTTTTTTGTTGGTAAAAGTCTTCAAAACGCATCTGGGTGCTGGAGTAGGTAGCTCAAGTTTTCGTGTGTTCGTATTTGAGATATTTTTGTGGCTAATTACTTTTTTTTCGTTACTGCCCAATTGTGACAATTTCAGCAATGCGCTGGGCTTCTAATAAGTCCCTAAAATGTGGTTTTAAATTTATCCGTAAATTTTGTTCAAGCAACGTTTAGTTTAGAGCCGGGAAACTGGTTTCCCCACTTGTGTTACTCGTCACTTTTGCACCATTTGAATTTCGATTCTTCGCTAACATTTACAAACTGAAGAGAAGGAGGAGTCTTTGTCGAACAACTAGATTAAGTTAAATACATACAATGCTGGATTGGGTACAATTTAGCGTTGGTTAAGTTATCATCGCCGCCATCGAGGCAATTTCATTGCTCGATCCGCACTTTCATCGCACTTTCCAAAGCGTTTTACAAACGGTTCGTTCGGTAGTCCTGTTTTCCTTGTTCAATCCTTTTTAGAATCCTCTTAAGAATCAATTGATAAACCGCGCCTTCTGTTTGCGCACAAAGTCCTGGGCCTGTTTGTCATTGATTCGCACCTCGAGGATTTGCAAAATGGGATTGCCTTCGTGGGGAGAAAATACTACATAGCATCGAAGGAGCCTTCGGTTGTCGGGTTATATTTTACTCACATTTATCCTTTTGCTCCATGAGTGGCAGTTCGATTTGCTTCAGCCCGTGGAAGTTGTCCACACTCGTGCTGTAGTCCGCCACCCCGGGAATGTTGCCCAGTGCCAAGTAGGCCTCGCCTCCAAAGTCGTTGGCCGTCAGGACATCGTGGTCCATTACCGTGAAGCAGATCATGGCTCCTTCGGTCAAACACTGCTCCAGGGTCACCGAGAACTCGAAGCATTCATCGAATACGGGGTTCAGAGTGCGCTGAAGTTAATGAATTAAAAATAATATTAGGAGAAAGAAAAATACTTGTTCAATATCAACATTTGTTCTGTACTCTCAAGATATTAAAGGAAATTTAAAATATTTCTTTATGAGGATTTGAAAGTTGATAAATGACTTCCCAAAAGCCGATTACATAAACAAAAAATCAAGTAAAATTCAAATGAAATGTTAATTAAGGTAGCTAGTAAAAACTTTGCACCAATAACAAAAGTGAGAGAGTAAAGAAGTTGTAGTTTGGAGGAAATTAAAAAGTTTTAAAAGTTCAAGAGAATTTAAGCAAGAAGCAAAAGTTAAGACCAAGATAAATTCAATTATTTCATTAAATTTAAATAAAAATACCCTTTCAAAAATAGGTTAATTAATTCCTCACCTTATGCACATTAGTCTGCTGCTCCATGCAGTGAAGGAAGATCCTGCGGGGAAGGAGCTCTATGACCACAAAGGGATCGCTGAAACCGTTCGGATCGAGGGGCACCACATCCCTGGCATGAAGGACCTCCACGCAGAGGGAGTCATGATTGAAATAAGCCCTCACAGCCAGAGATCCGTAAGGAGAGGGCATCACTGCCATCAGTTGTTCCCTCAAGCGTTGCATGTAGAACATATCGATAAGTCTATCGGTATCGGTTTTGTGGAACTGCAGCCTCTGCTCGATCCTCCAGAAGTCCTCGGTGTGCAGGCACTCCAAAAGTAATCCCTGTCCTTCGGCGTGAAAGAAATCGATGAGCAGTTGCAACGCCTCATAGAGTCGCTTGTGGAAATGGGTGGGTTTATCCGTTTCATCTCCAGTTTCCATTTGCCGGGACATCTCCCCCAGAACAGTTTTCCAAATGAAACGCAGCGATCGATTGAAGTTCTTGGTGAGCAGAGCACTATTCAAAGCAGCCAGGTGGCAATCCAAGTACTCCAACAGAGGAACAATCGCCTGATTGGCGGGCAGGGAATCGGGTGACCAGGCCAAATGGAACATCGCCTTCTGCAGGGACATCTGCATGAGGGGAGCTAGTTTCGATAGGATCCTCTCGCAGCGGTTCTCCATGTGGGTGAGACTCGACTCCAGCAGGTTATCCGCCGACTCCTCGAGCGGCTGCTCATCCGACCGAAACTCCGCAAGAGTGCGACGCACATACTCCACATTGTTGACCGTGACGCACATGTCATCGGAGCACCGGAAAGGACCCTGCTGCTCATAGTAACCACCTTCCGCCAATGCAGTATGGATCAGATCGCAGTAGTGCATGGCAGCCGAGCAAACCACATCAATCAGCTGGGATTCCAGCATGATGGCCGTATCCTCGTCCGGCCAGTTCATCACCTTCCAGAACTCCTTGATGTTCAGCAGAGTGCTGGCCGTATCTACCGAGGAGCTACTGTAGCGGACAATCCGCTCACCCTCGCAAATGGCATCCATGCGAATGGCGGCCCTGATCCTCTGCAGCGCCTTCGCCTTGCTGACCATCATCCAGCGCTCCAGCGTCGGAATAAACCACTCGTGGCTGTTGCTCAGCGCCAATGGCTTCTCCGGTGGCTGCGGTTGGGTGGACAGGTGTCGCTTCAGCTGACAGAACTCCTGGAGGGCCAGGAAGAGCTCGAAGGGCTTGGTGTCCACCGGCTCAGCATCGCCCTCGAGCACGGCGTACTGGGAGAGATTCATCCGCACCCCGGGCACCTGGCCAGCGGCCATCCGGCTGTACACCTCCTCGCCCACCATCGCATCGTACTGTTTGTAGATGATGCTGAAGTACTGAATCCCATTCGTGCTGCCGGGAAAAAAGAAGAAGAGGAGGAAAAGGGTCTTTACGTGGTTGCGCATCGATTTGTGGGATTACCGCCATGCAGAACGCTTCGAAAGTGGACTGCTCGATGGTTTTCTTTTTAATTATTCGTGGAAAACTTTTTGTTTGCTCTCGCTTTCTACTTTGCTTTTTGCAGAAGGGTTTTTTTTAAATTTATTTGTGGAAAGTTTTTATTCGCTCTATAGTGATACTTCGTTTTATGAAAATGAAATATAAAGTTTTTTAGGTGGTAATTCTTTAATTATTTTTAGGATTTTTTTAATTGTTAAAAACACAAAATAGGTTGTATTAAAAAACTCCTTGAATTGCAAATAAATTGGCTTGTCGTTATGAATTTTCGATCAACAAATTTCTTCTAGAAACTATAATTTTATTAACACCTAAATTTTTATAATATTTGTCATTTTATTGAATAACAATTCGTAAACTTCCATCTTCAGGAATTTTTTAACGAGCCTATGTACTATTAGAATTTTAAGATTGTGGTTAAAAATGTTTCCTGGAAGTTGTGTTGGTTATAAGAATTTAATTGAAATGCGCCATATTTTAGAAATAAGAAATTTACAGTTTTGAAAGAATATTCAAAAATTCTATAAAATGTTATTTTTGTTTTTATTCCTCTTTAAAACCTCCTTAGAATCTAAAATTTGAAACCACCTGAGGACCCATAACCCTTGAGCTTCCTATCTGCCTGCGGCTGGCGAATGATGGCCTCCTCAGTTTTAAGCGAGAAAATGGCGCAATTAGCCTGCGAGTAAATTTTGCTAATGCCGCCCGTCTCGACACTCAACGCTCAACGCTCAACACTTTGGCTGACAGCCTCTGGACATTTGTTAAATGCCTCGTCAGGATGTCCGGGTTGCTACTAGCCCGTCCAAAAGCAGAAGCAGAAGGGCAACGTGAGAGCATTTTTATGACAGCGCAATTAATTTGGGGCTTATGTGTGTAAGCCACTTGATGTCCTCATTAAGGTCCTTTTATGGCCGCGCTAACTGGCAAATATGTGACTGATTAGTCCGGCGGGAAGGCCAAGGATGCAGTCCCAGGCACCTATAAATGAGCCTTTTACTGAGAAGCCCTTCCGGCTGCGTTTAATGCCGTAACGTGATCCATGCCATTTTGGGTGGATCGATTTGTCATTTCATTTGCAAGAGATTTCCAAATTGCGACACGAACCACTGCTGATAGCTTTCCTGTGTTCAATCCAATTAGATTGAAAACGAATTAAATATCTGGGCAAAGGCTTACATTTGGAATTTCGATTGCGGAATATTAGAGATATTTTCCCTAACTAACGTGCATGCAAAGCACGTATGCGTATTCACTAAAATTGTTAGTCAATTTTACTTGTTACGTTTCAAAATTCAAAATCTAATACAATTTGATTTTAATTCTGTCTGCCAAAGTAAATTTGTTAGCCAATATTATACAAATACTAAACGCAAATTAAATGCTTATGGATTGCTGATAAATTCAGCTTAGTATAGGTATTTGCTTAAAATGTGTTTATTAAGTTGAGAACTTAAAGAGGTTTTTAGTAAAGTAATTAAGACTCTTACATAAGCATAAATATTTATAAAAAACAGTTTAAATTCCGCTTAAATCTCTTTATATTACAATCTACAGATTTATTGGATTTCCCTTTAAAATAAAATTGTTTCTAATGGCTGAAAAACCTACAAACACTTGAGCCTTGAGGACTCCCACCCTTTGGCTTAAGTAGTTCTCCTGTTTTCAGCGCCGCTGGCAATCTGTCATGACAACATTTTGTGGCCCTCATTAATGCTCGTTAGCTTTATGACTTTGACTTGGCCATTTGACAAATGCCCAAACTGATTAGAGAGTGGCAACTGTAAAGTGCTCCGCCCCTCCGGCGACAACGACGATTCCGGATTAGTTTGGAATCGAAATGACGCCATTTGCGTGGGGTCGCAATTCAATTGGGTCAACAAGGAGTGCAGTGCTCACATGGTGACCCCCTGGAAACTGGGAATGGGAACTTGGAACTCGCTTGTTTTGTTAAACTGCTCGGGACATTTTATTTGTTCGATATGTGAACCTTGGACCCGTTTAATGGTCGACACGTGTGCCACACATCGAATCCAAATGCGAATGGGAATCCTGAACATTGGGAAAGGTAACTAACCGAAACCGGCGACTAAAAGTGATCCGAAAATCTACTCACTTGTCGAAGAGGGCATGGTAGTAGGTCTGTCCCAGCTGAATGTCGGCCGTTAATGTCGTTACGAAGTTCGATAATGGATTGGGCAGTGCCTGCGATTCCCGCATCACCGTTTGGCCCCACATCACGGATCCCTTGCGCAAAGCATTCACCACCTCGCCCCTCACTCCCTTGTTGAAGGGACACACCGCCCGGAAGGCTCTCATCGAGCCCAGGAGTCCCAGACAGCGCAGCAGGAACTCCAAACGGATTAAAGAGGGCGGGTTCAAGGCGGGAAAGATGTCCCTGTGCCGCCGGATCTGGTTGAGCGACCGCTCCACGAAGCCGTTCATCGCATCCGCCAGCCACTGCTCCAGATCCCTGCTAAGCGCCTCCTGGTTCGGCTGGTTCCACTGCTTCTCCACGTCGCTGAGCAGCCGGTGCAGGAACTTCGGGTCCAGCGGAGTGGACCGGTTCAACTTGGCGGCTGCCACGTATCTGGAGGGGATAGATTGAAGGATTTAAGATTACTGTGTGGGATCATAGGAATTTACAAATATTTATAACAAAATTTAAATAATAATAAGAAGTTGTCCTGTATATAAAATAAAAATAAATGAAATAAAATATAGTAGAATTAATGGAAATGACACTGACTTTTTGAGTATCGAGCTTTTAACCAGCTTTAAATCATGAAAAAAAATTCATAAAAATCGGAAAACTATGTATATCATATAGCCGACATATGAGAGATTAAAAAATCAACAAAAAATGTATGGAAGAAAATTATATTATCGATGTTTTTATCTTAAAACGACTATATGTCAAAAATTCGAAAACTTTGCTTTATGATGTTTAATTTTGGATTGGTATACCTTAATTGCTTAATATTATAGAAAATATAATCATCGATATATTACCCTCGGTTATTGGCATCACAAAATCAAAGCATATATTAAGTTATAATATTCTTTTAGCAAAACCCACCTGGCCATGGCGCAGTGCAAGTCCGAGAGATCCGCCTGCACGGCCAACTGATGCAGGATGGTGAGAGCGGGTCCTGGCAAATCGCCGCACCAAGTCCACGAGGGTTCGTGGGTGGTCACCTCGTGCTGCATGAACACCTTCTGCAGCTGCTCGACCTTGTGGATCTGCTGCTCGAGGTTCTCCTCGCTGACGGTGCTCCTGTCCTCGCGGGTGGAGAGCCACAGCTTCAATCGGATTCTCCCCTGAACGGTGCTCCGATGACTGCGTGCTTCCAGCTTGAACCAGGCATCCAGGCCAGTGGATGGTATTTCCGAGAGCGGAATATTCACGGAGCCCAGAAAATCGTCCTGGGATCCCTGTCGAGCCGACTGACACACCTGTTTGAAGAAGCGCCCCAGACCGCGAACGCCACGCACTTCATTCAATCGAGAAACGGCGTCCATCACACAGCTTTCGTCATCGTGGTCCCAAATGTCCAGGTGGAAGGTATCCGTATTGATGTCATCTATATCGCTGTGGGATATAATATTAATTTATATTTTTCAGGTAATATTCAGATTTATGTGAGTTTGTAAATTTGCATGAGCTCATCAATTATTTAAGATTTACAAATGTTTGCATGTGTTTACAGCCTGCACTTCGATGCTCCATTTAATTAATTACTTAATTTATTGTTGCCCTTAAGTTGCAAGGTAATGATTTGTAATGAAAAGTACAAATATGTATGTTATTCCCTTGAACTGGCTGCTAGTGGATATTAATCCGAATTAATTAATACAATTACATGAGCAATCATTATTGCTTCTACTATAGAATACCACTTCCAAGAATTAACTTGTTGAAGTTGGTAAGCCATTTAAATAGGATTAACATTGTAATTTTTGACATCGGAATGTCAAAGTAAATCAGGATTTAAATCTACCAATTTTAAAAACAAATAAGAACCTGATTATATGCTGGCTTATTAGGGTATTTTATATTCGTCTGATTGGCGTTTTTCTTTTGCTTCTCCTCTTTTATTGCAATTGCCACATACATTTCATTGCATTTCTTGTGGAACATTTCATTGTGCATTTGTGTGCTTGAATTTTATGGAAAATGTAAATGAATTTCTCCCTTTTATGTCTTACAACTCGTAAATTACGTTCGATATTGTAACGAATCGTTGGGCAATGTGACAGGGATCAGGGATAACAGATGGCAAATGATTTGTTGAGAATTTCTTTTCTCCTTTTTTGTTGCCAGGTTTTGCCATTTATCAGGCTGCCATCTCCCTCTTGATTTTAATTTCAAAATGTTTCAATTAAATTACAAATGCTTCGCTAAATGTGATGGGTGATGGGTATCCTTCCTTATTTTTGATAGCTATATATATCAACTTACAACTTGAACTTCTCGTTCCACTTGGGCGTCAGCGTGTGCGGCTTGATGCTGGTGGCCTTGATGAGCTTCGCCGGCACCGGTCCGCCGAGTGAGTCGCGCTGCTCCCGCCCCCGTCCCCCCTCCCGCCGCTTGAAGCTCAGCCGGAAGCTGTGCTTGCGGTGCGGCGGCGAGTCCGTGGCGCTGTTATCAAAACCGCCGCTCATGTCCGCCGAGAGGGCGCGCGGCGTCGGCGGCAGCGGCAGCGGCGACACCGGCGGACCGCCGTTCTCGTCCGGCTGGATGCCCAGCATGCAGTACGGGTCCGAGAAACCTGCAAGGGCCATAAATAATTGAGTACTATGGGTGTCGAGATATCGAGAAAGTTTGTTTCGGAACGAGGTCCAAACGGAAATGCACGGGAAAATAAATTACAAAGGTCTTAAGAGGTCGTAAGGGAGTTTTCCTATAAAAAGGGGGTTGTCCATTAAATAAAGAACAATTATAAAATTAAAATGGTTTAATGGAAACACGGAGGGTCTATAAATAATAAAATTTTAAAAGTTTCACAATTTCAAATTGACAGAATTCTACCAAATAAATTAATAACTTTAAAGAGATGTTTTATAATGTAATATTTACTTTTTGGCGAAATGAAAGAGCAATTTGTTTCGTTAAGAGATTATAAAATTGATTATTTCCTAGACGATTTGTTTATTTAACTATAGCATATTATTTTAATAAGTAATCATATTTAAGAAAAAATAATATTTTAATTTAAAAAAAATTCGTATTAAGTTTTTTTTCATATTCAATGTGAAACCAAGAAATATATATGATAGTTTAATTGAATTCTCCACATTAAATTAAACCTACTAAACTAATTTATTAAAAACATTTATTTCCATCTGTGTTATTGTTTTGATTAATTTTTTTTCTTGTTATTTAAGTACATTTTTATTATGGGCAATTATAAATGAATTATGAAGCCATAAAATTTTGCAAATTGTAACTGATATTATGTTTTTATCTCTGTGAAAAGAGGACGAAAACTCGGAAAAAGGGAGACTCGGTCGATAAGGAGGAGTGAGAAGTGGTGGCGCATTAATGAAGAGCTCGACTGATGACATTAAATGCCAATTAATGGCACTGCCCGCGGGGATAACGTGCCGTCAGCTGGTCCCAGTCACACATTGCGTATGATTAACATTTCATTTGCATAAAGTGCCGCCTCAATTATTGAGTGCCAGTGATTTACGAGGCAACGAGAACTGAGCTCTCGCCGCAGATGGCCGCCGTTGCCAAGATTAAGATTTTTGCGAGAGAGAAGATCCGCATAATTGAAACAATTACGCTGCCTTGGGGACGATTTCTGTTATTGGTATTATTTCAGGGCGATTAATTTAATTGGGTTCAAAATGGCAGCAATGCTATATCCGATGACCAATCTTGATTATGTACTAAAACCGATTCCATCCGATTGGGATTTACTTTCAGTGGGTAAATACCGCCGGTAAATCGATTACGCCACAAAAATGATTCATTTGAAATTCGGACTCGTACATTGAGCCAAGGCAGGGCACTCATTGTAATGGCCAATTTGGTTGTTGCCCTTCATGGTTGACCAGTCCGAGGCGAATCACTGGCTGCTAATGAAAATCGAAGAAAATCGAACTGAAACCGAACTGAATTGAACCTGATTCGCCGTCTTCGCAGCTTATTTGGCAATCGAGAATGGCCCAAACAATAGCCGGCCGATGAGAGCGGCCACGTTTCATTGGCAACGAGTTGTTTGCCATCTGCCCAGGGCCTCCACTCCCACTTCCCCAACTTCATCCTCTTCCGCATCCTCATCCACATCCACTTCCCCCAGGAAGCCTTATTCTGGCCTATTTGGTGTTGCTTCCAGACGGTAGCCGTCATCGGAACATTTAGCAGATGGCACACTAACGTTGCACTACTGAATAGAGATTTTGGTGAGGAGAAGAGGGGAAAGGAGGGGTAAGGGAGCAGTAGAAAAATACTCGAACAGAAGCAGACGCAGACGAAGGAGCACTCAACGTATTCCTTACACATCCTTGAGCACATTAAAATGCGAAATTGCGTTGCCTTCGATGAGGCTGCTGCTGCTTCTGCACAGAGAAAAATTCTAAGAACCAAGACAAAGATGCGGAAATAAATTTTATATCATATGTGATTTTTTGTTAACCCATTTTACTCTGAATATTTATTGTATTGTATATAATTGTTACAGATTTTAAATTGTATGATTGAAAAATATTTAGGATGAAAGCATTATAAAGGCAATCAAACAATAAATCAATAAAATAAATAAAATATATTATTTATAATGTTTAATATTATAAAAAGTATCTGGTACAAAGTAAATTTTGGTTAATGGCATGTGTAAAATATTGTTTAAGTATTTTCTTGTAAATTTAGATTTATAGTTAAACATTTTTTATAAAAGAAGTTGTGACCGATATACCAAGGAAATAATAAAGAAATTATGATTTTTTTTTAAACATAAGCCTTTAGAACAAAGTTCTTATATACACTATAACATTAGAATAAAATAATAAATACATTAAATAATTACTAGCAACATTTCTCTTCGTGTACTCCTATTTCTGGATGTGGGGCTTCTGGCTCTTGAGCATAATGAACAAAATGGGAAGCATTAAATTGCAAATTTATTGAACGCACACTGCGAAGGAACCTGAAGAGGCATAACCAAAACTGTAGCCCTGACTTGTACTCGCACCATAACCATAACGGGGAGGAGGACAAAAATCGACTATAGAAGGTATATAATTGGGGGAAGTAGTCAACGCACATAAGATGGGGCTCGGTTATGGATGGGTCGTTTGGCTTTTTGATTTGCCCAAGTGCACACACGCACCGCCACTGAGCTTCATAATGCAATTACCGCACTAGCCGCAAAATCAATTTACAAACTAAAAATATTTACACACACAAGAGATGCGATACATGGAATAGACAGATTGACACATTGGATGGGAGAAATGGGAACTGGGTAGAAATGTGTTGATGGTGCGGAAAGCTGAGAGCTGAAAGCTGAGGAAGATCTGGCTTACCATTGGCATCTTTCGCCTCGAGGCCATCAGCCTCGATTACCACCGCAGAGAGTACGATTATCTTTGGTTTATCCTCGGCGGAGGCGTGCAGCAGGCGATAATGACGATCCGGATTGACACCGAAGGCGCGCTGTGCGTGCAGATACATTTCGTCCTTGTAGTGTGCAAACTGAGCCCGAGATTTCCATTCGAAAGTCAAGTGTGAGCCAAATTACGCATACGCCGCGTGGTGCCAAGAAAGCGGTGTGTGGAGGAAAAGCAAATATTTTTTCAATTTAATTTAATTATATTGTCATTTATTTGTAAATATTTTGGGAGTCAACGAAATTATAATATCATTTAAGGCAAAATCTACATATATATTTTGCTTTAACGGAAATTTATTTTTCCCCCTCTTCAAACATAATCCATTTTCGTTCTTTTCTCTCACATCTCTATTGATTTATCTCCTCTGAATTTATTAGCCAGTCGACTTTCGATTTGGATCACGCTTCAAAAAACGCTTCGGAATGTTGTTATAATTTGATTGCTTTCGCTGCAGTAAAAATTATGAATAAACTTCGCTACCTGTGAATTTATATGAAGAAAAATGCAGCAAAAGCTAAATGAAATTTATTTTAATTTTAATCCCCTCTTTTTGGGATTGACTACTGAATACCAAAAAGAGATTTTGGCATCGCAATGAATAATAAGCAGACAGAAAATGCAAGACAATAATGGACGGATTTATTTGGGTGTGTTTTCAGTACAAAGAATAAATAAGTAGGGAATTAAATATTCCTTGTGTGCGAAGAGAAAATGTTTCCTTTTTTTGTTCAACCTCTCGGCTTATGTTCATCCTCATTAAGCAAAAAAATGGCAGCCTTATTAACGCTCTTTTAGTTCCGCTGCAAATAATTCTTTTTAATTGAGAATAATCTCAGTTTCCTCCTCGAGGGCAGCTCAACTCGGTTTGTTTATCTTTCAAATGAACACCACTCGGCCAGATTGTGTACCTAAGTAACCTTCAGTTTGCAGCATCTGTTTCTGCAACTTTCGTGCATTTCGTTATTACTTTTATTTTATTTTTTTCCCCCTTTTCATTAATTTCCATTAGGACAGGCTTAACCTCCCGATGGTGCTGGGTGAGCAAATCGCATTTATTTGTAATTATTTACCATTAAATGCAAAAACTCGAGCGCAGGGATGCCCGCTGAGACGGCCAGGCAATAACTTTACTGACTTGGCCAACTTGTGTCCCTTTGCCATCCTTATTCTCATTTTCTATTTCTATTTCTCGATCCGCTTTGCGGGGACCCGCGAGATTTGACCGGTTTCAACTCAATCACAGCAGGAGGACGACGTTATTTTCCGCTACTAGTTGAAACTTTTGTTATGCTGGCACAACCTTGCCATCTACCAGTTTACTTCTCTTCACTCTACTTCACTTTATTTTCCCTCCGGGGAGCTTCTCAAGTTTCATTAGTTGTGCACTGGGCGTCTAACAATTTTCTTACTGCGAAATTAAAAACGATAATTGAAAAATGAACTCGTGTTAAGCTGGCCAGCACCGCGCCATCGCAGAAATATTGTGGAAATATTGGAGAAATTCCTTTTGAAATGGCAGTCGGCAATGAGGAGGAAAAGTAGCACATTTTTAATTGAATTTTCTGCCCTCAACGCACAGACTTGAGAGCTTCGGAAATGAAATGAAATTACCCCCCTGCCTCCTGATTTTCGACTCTCCCATTCACCACCCCCAGAAATCTCCCATTTGAAAATCCCCAAAATCCCAGAATGTGTTTTCTTCTTGCCGTCGGGCAAACCGGAGCATTAATCATTCAAATTGCAAAACGTCTCAAAGCCTAATGCCAGCGATTAAGCCTTTCAATCATGTGGTGTCCCCTGCCCCAAGGCGAATGCTTGTTTCCAGGCCTAAATCGCCTTAATTTGAGTAATTTGCAACTATTTGCATAAGCCCTCTGACCTCCCAAAAGACGAAAGTGAACCCCCCTCCTGCAAATCATAATTTTATTCCAAGGCGGGGGACAACTATCCCTGGATATTGATTTACCTGGCCGCCGGGAGCCGGGGCGCCCACCGTGTTGGCAATGGTGTGCAGGACCTCCGCGTACAGCTTCTCCTTCTCGTCCTGCCGGTCGATGGCCTCCTCGCCCGCCGGCGGATCACGTTCGTTCTCGGGATTAGCCTCTGCACGTGCCTCGGCGGCACGCGTGGCCGACATGCGACGATTTTCACGTTTCCATCCGAGCGATGTGAAGTTCTCGAAGTACGAACCATCCGTTTCCTGGACTCTGTGGAAAGGGGGAGAAAAATATAGAGAGGTTGTATATAAAATAGGGTTATATTCATGCACATGTGTGTTTTTTTTTTTCCTATTTTTTTTTTTATGGACTCTGCCGATTCGATTTCAAAGGATATTCAAATCGACTGCTGCTGTTGCTGTCAGTTCGGTGTCTGACTTTAATTGGCACTGTCAATATGCCGTTGCCAACATACAAATGTGACATCGCCGTACCTATTTCAACATTGATAAGGGTCGTCGCCTGTTGCCGGGACCACTCTGCGTATGCTTGATGCCCCGAAGCGAGGGCTTACCCTGAGCCGCTAATTGTATACAAATATTCACCAGTCGGCACACACATAACGAAAATTCTAGAGCTCGGTTGACCCACTAAATTATGTATATCCCTGATTGAATAAAAAAGATTTCATGTATGGTTTTCATGAAAAAAAGTGTTATATTTTAAAAGTATTTTAAGTAATTTTGAAAAAAATATATGTTAATTACATTTTTCTTAATTCGTAAAAATTTTCAAAGTTATTACTATTATTATTAAATCAAAATCTAATTATAAATTTAACAAATAATGTTATATTTATATTAAGCATTTGAAATCTTTATATTTAAAATGTAACAGAATCAACATACTTTACTTGTTTGATTATTTAGAAAACTCTGCACTTAAGAACTTTTTTCAAGGAGTTTTTTTAATTTTTTCCGAGTGCATACTAGATAGAAACTTTTTGTTTTTGGTCCCTAACTAGGCCTACTCAGTATAGTTGATGCTCTGCCTAATCATTTGATTTGCATGCCCCTCGCTTTCAGACAAGCCCACCGGATTTATCCGAGCAGCTGTGGCAAAAAAAAAAAAGGAAAAGTTGGCCAAAAGTTTGCCCACTCAGCAGGGAAACAGCTAAGCGGCTTAACTTTGTCGCCGGCGTTGATGATTTTTTACGCTTACGTTTATGGCAAAAAATAAACTGAAGAGGCCCCCGAAAGTAGGCAACACTTTCTGTCGCCACTTTTTCCCATCGAAAACGGAATGTGAATGTGGGCCTCACTTTTTCGAGGACACCTCTCGGTGTTAATACACTTACACCTATATACGAGTGTGTGTGTGTGTGGGGGTGTGTGTTTGGGCGGAAGGCGTGTGAAAATGGTCAACATAATTGCCGTAAATGATAGGGTAGACTGGGCGAATCCTGGACACTAACTGCATTGTCTGAAGTTCTTCCCCCTCGAAAGTTGTTTGGAAAAAAATTTAATTTGAAACTTTTCGCCCAGCTGTTTGTTTTGCTTTTATTTTTTTTTTTTTTTTTTTGCTTCTTGTCGCTTTGCTTTGTGATTTCGTCGCTTACGGAGACACTCAATTTCGGTTTCAATTTTTAAAATTTTTTCACAGTTTTCTCGTGCCACTTTTTTGTGGCTCCGGGGAAAAGTTCTTGACGAACTTTTTTATATTTCTTTGGTATTTATTGTGTCGCAAATATTTATATTGTATTTAACTTTAAAGTAAACAATTTTCGGTCGCAAAAGTTTTTGACATTCAAGACTTTGCTTCAAATAATTAATATTGGTTTTTATTTTTCTGAACCGAAATTTATGTTAAATAATTGAAAAGCAAGAACATAAAACATTGTCATTGGGTATGAAATATAAATTAATCTGCCTCTTGACATTTATTGTCGCTTTGCTAAAACTTAATAGCTGCGGTGACAAACCAATTATGTGGCAATTACTATTTAATGCATAAAATATGACATTTCGCGCATCAATTGCATTTTAATAAGCTAAATTTTTGGTTTGACTTGCAAACGCTTTTAAATGGAGTTCAATTAAGTACAGATAAATCAGACATGTAATAATTGGTTAATATTTTGTGAAAAAATAATCTCTTGTGGTCAATAGTCGCTTATTATTGCTGGAGTGTTACAGGTGATAAGGACACAAAGCGGTGAAAATTAATTTCATACTTCAGGAAACTTTGGAACCCTCGACGAGACTAATTAGGCCGGAAAGCTAACCATGTTAATGGATGTCGAAACTTCCAGACAGGCCTCTCCAGGACGCATTTCACACTCTCTCGGCCCATCAAAGCCTCATATTTCTTTAAGGGGAACCCCCAATCCACCGAGTAAACCTCATTTTCGAGCTTAATTAAATGTAACCTGTGATCCGAGCGCACATTTGCAGGTTAAGCAGATGCCGCATTATGCAAAGTGGCAGCGTTGCGGCTTTTTGGGCCGCAAAGAAGATGTTGTTGCAGCTGCTGGAGACTGGAGGATGTTGCACCTGCCAACTCGCCAGATACTCGGCCACATTGAGAGCAATCTGAGCCAAGTCAAGGACCCAAAGGCACCTTTAAGTCTCTCAATTGCGATGGTATGTGTGTGTGTGTGGGGTGGCCAAAAAAACTTTCGACACTCAAAGGTTTTGCCCGCATCCAAAGTTGCCATGGTCCTACGAGAAAGTGGAAAGTGGAATGGTTGCGAGAAAGTTTCTTTCGGAAAATTTCGACGCCGAGAACTAACTGAAGGAACTTTTGTAATTACGTAATTATGAAGGTCGAGCGGTAAAGTTTCGCCTGGCAATTCGGGAAAACAAATCGAGAACACAACTGAAATTGAAGTACATTAATTAATTGGTATATAATTTATTTTAGATTTTCGCCTGTCGTGACTTCAATGGCCGCCCCACCCCATTTACAAATCCCCAAAGTCACTCATTACGTGGGGGCCTATTTAATTTATGCATTTCACATTCGAATACCTCTGTCGACACGCGTGTGTTGGCAGCGTGTAAATATCTGGCAGCCAGGCTTGGGCCAAAATTAGCATTTCCATCTGCTGGGTTAATTACCTCGGGCAAATAATCATTTCCCATTCCTTAACCAGAAATTCAGGCAGACAGATAGTTAATTTGCCCTCGAAATCCATTCGCAACCTTTACGCACTTCATCAACTATTCATTGGGGGATAGTAGAACTTCGAAATTCAACTTACCCGGAATTGGAGCGCGGGTCAACTTCTGGCCAACTTAGGCGGCGTTTGCAGAAGGCCAGCGGTGGGCGGGGCGGCGGATCCGGTTGGTGCAGCGGCGAGTTCCGCTGCCTGAAGGATCCGGTTCGCGGTGGGGCAAGGCACTCCAGTGCCCGCGACTGGCGACGCGACTGGGGAGTTCCCCCACCTCCACCTCCTCCGGCGGATGTCGAGGGACTGCCAGGTCCCACCGAACCACCTGGTATTTTCGGATAACCTGCGGGGCAAAAACAAAGGGGTAACAGCATGAAAATAAGCAAGGGAATTCATTTAAAGTTGCTTAAAATGTGTAAACGTTGTTCATACAAAGTTCTGTTTTTGTTGGAACTCATTAAAATGGAAATACATTAGCTATTTATCAATAACAAATTATTTAGAAAGCTTTTAGGCTTTGCACAAAAATATTCAACTTAATCTGTTTAACAAATTAATATTTACATACTAGCTTTAAATTGTTTATCTATTTTAATGTGATTAAAGCCAACATATTTTAATACTTAGTTAAAAAGCTTTTAGGCTTTAAATGAAGTTCCGACTTAATCTACTTATGGAATTTCATTCTAAATATTTTTTATAGCTCACGAATGCACAATTTTATTAGTAATTAAATTCACTTCAACTATATTTAGTTTGCTTGTGTATAAAAGTTAATTATAAAAACTGTTTTAGAATTTTTATCGATAGTTAAACAATTAAAAAGATTTTCTGGCCATGCAAAAACTTTGACTATTCACTTGAACTCTCTTTAAAGTTTCTCTATTACTTTACCTATCACAAATAAGTTCCTTAAACTATCACACATTGATAAAATACGTAGATTTCCACATCGAAATCAAGAAACCCACCTACAAAAAGAGAAAGTCTGCGTTGGTTTTCCTATTGTTTTTCATCATGCTTTTAACTTTCTTTGGCAAAGAAGATTAAAGAGCTGGAAGTCAGAGGGAAAGTTGATTTTCGGAAACTATTTCCCCCGTGTCCTATCCCATAATTCCCGCAACATGCAAATATCTGTGGCATACAGCTAGTTGATGGCTCTCAGGAAAGCGAGGTGGCAAAGTCAAAGTCAGCGTGGCTCCGAGTGGTTCGGAGTGGCAAAGTGTGTGGTGCAGTGTGGTGCAGTGGTCCTTGCTCGAGGCAGGAGCAACCTGAATGGGTGAATGGGTAAATGGGACCGCAGCCCGCAACCTTGACATGCATCTGTGTGGCTCCTGCGGCTCCTGTCCTTCCCATCCGTCCATCCCGTTGGCACTCCTTTCGCCCAAGGACTTCAGCCAGCAGGCACAGAAGCCCCGCAAAGAGTGCATGTGTGATGGGTTTCGGATGGAAATAGCCAACCATTACTATGGCTTCGCAAAGAAAACCTTTTTTTAGTAGTAGTAGAAAAACCAGGAAAAAAAAAAGAAAGAAATACAGAATATGCAGCGAAATTTTGGGTTGGCTTAAAAGTGCTCGCCAAGCGGAAAGTCAAAGTTGAACTGGGACTTGGAATCTAAGAAGAGCGCTTACACGTTGATGGCTTTTCCGGGAAAAAGAAGAATTCCCCGATGGCTAGAAAAACCGCTCGTTCATGGCTCGTGCAACAAGATAAGCCAATTTCAATTTTGATTCAAATGCTGCAGACGTTCATCGTTCGTTGAATCAAAATCCCAACCAAATGCCAAGTCAATGTCGTTGGGCTAAGACGTTTGGCTATTGCTATGGTGGAAAACTGGAAAGTTGTTGGCTCTCCGGCGGTTTTTGTGGCCAGGACACGATGCTTTTCCTGCTGCCGCTGCGTCTTGACATTTAAATGTGTTTGCATTTGCCAACTGCGAACAGAAACAACAACCTCCGAACATCGTTTAGCTTGGCAAACAAGTTTTGCATAGCCAAACGAAGCCAAAGCGGAAACGAAGCCGCACAAGAAGTCACATATGCATGTTGATTGCTTTCGCTTCACCAGCGGAGATACACTGGGGGCAAATTATAACGAGCAAATTCAAATATTTTTCGGTTTTTCAGGCTGAATTTTAGACCAGAACAAGCTTTAATATCTATTTTATATCTATAATATTTTGCAATTCGTTGGAAGCAATTCTTAAGCCAAGAGTTGTCATAATCCAACATAAAAAGGTGCTGATGTATAAAAAGGTTTATAATTGATTAAAATAAAATTTAAGAATTAACATCCAAACTGACGAACGCAAAAGACAATAAATTTCTAGGAAAAACTTGACTTAAAAAGGTTTGAGTTTTTTTGTTACGAATTCCATTTTTAATTTAAGTTATCACCAATCTCTAGCATATACAAATTAATTTGGAAAATATGTTCAGTGTGCCTTTGAGTTATCTAACCATTGCAAACAGGAAATCATTTAAACAAAGTGCTCTTAAAACCACAAGGTTTTCAATTTAAAATGTGTTACAAAGTCGTATAAAAAAAGTGTTTGTTAAACTGTATTTCCCTGTGTAAGGACCACTATCATCCTCCCAAAACCAGGACCAACTGGCACCCCATTGCGGCGGTTTTGTCTGCGCATTTGTTGATCCAAATGCGAGAGGCGTTCGGCGATTGGGAAAACTTTTGGCGCATTTGGTGGCTGGCAAGACATGTAATGTAATTTTCATATTGAGGCCCGATGACGATAACGTCTGGCGGATTCAATAAACTTTTCCATGTTTACCATCTCTGTGGCACGCATACGCAAACAAATTGTTTTTTTTTTTTTTTGGTTTTGAATATGTGTGGCAGCTGATGGAAAGTGAAAGACAAGTCGACGGCGACTTAAAGGTGAATCGTGCTTTTTTATGCATTCTACTCCATGTTTACTCAATACGTCCCGAGGGTAAAAACCACATTGGAAAACTCCATTAGCAACTTAATTAGGGGCAAGGCTGCTTTCGGTATTAAGCCAACCCGCTCCTTCTGTCTGCGAGGACGTGACCTTTGGCAAAGCGTTTGTCTAGCTGAGGCTATTACATGGGGAAAAATGCTATATAATCTATTCAAAAGGAATATAATGATTTATAGAATCAGTAAAAACAGTGAAAAATGGATTTATCCCATTTGAAACAGAAAAAATAAGGCATTTAATCCTCAAGCTCAAGCTAATTTATCTAAAAGGTTTAAATAAATCAAAGCCCAAAATATTTCATAGCAAAATGAACTTTTTTACTCTAAGGCCTATTCTGGGAACTTGATAAAAATAATTATGGTAATTCTATCACTTGTTTACTAGAGGATTAAACGCTTGATATTTTTTGTTATTTTAAAATAATTGATTAAGCCTCATGAAAAAAAAAATGTATAATTACATAAGAAATGTTTTCTGAAGAAAAATTTAAAAATATTTATTTAAGGTGCTAACAAATACATAGTTAATATTAACTATATTATTAGGCAGGATCAAGCAAAAACTTTTATAAATATAATATAAATATGTATAATACTCTTGTTTAAGTATTTATTTATATTTTAAAGAGTTCTCTTTAAATAAAAACAACAATATTTACTTTAAACACATAAACACATAATAAACCATAACATATATTTAGCTAGTTATTTTCTGTGTACTATTAATTGCCAAGCTTATTTTGCTTAGTGTGTAGGTGACGTGGCAGAAAGCAGAGCCGCCATAGAACTCACCCAGTAATGGATTGGTGGCATTCGGATTGCCGATAACGACGCCGCCGGATGGGTAATTGCTGCCGCCCGCCGACGCTGCCACGACGCCGGTGGGCGGGGCCGGGGTGCCATAGACGCCCAGTCCGCTGCCGATGCTCGCCTGTTGCTGCAGCGGGGCGTGTCCATGTTGTTGCTGCTGCAGTTGCTGCTGTTGCTGTTGCTGTTGCAGTAGCAACTGTTGCTGCTGCTGTAGCGGAAGTGATGGCTGCTGCTGCAGCTGTTGGTGCGGAAACGACGCCTGCTGCTGCAGCTGCTGATGGCCGGAAACGAGGCCGCCAGGTGTGGCGCCACCAATGGTGGCTCCGCCCGACTGCTGCTCGGTGGATTCTTGGCGGGAAAGCGAGAAGCGGCGGTTGCCAAGGCCCAAGCTCGAGATGCCACTTGTTACATATTGCTGCATGGAGCTGAGGAAACTCATGGCGGCATCTGGATCTCTCCTATCTTTTCCTGGCGTAATTGGCTCGAGTTCCTGTTTTTTGTTGCTGTTTGTGCCTTGCTTTCCTTTCGTTTGTCTTTTTGTGAAATTAATCACTTGGAAAGTTGCTGCCGGGATTTGCCTACCCAATTCGTTATGTTTCCTCGATTATAAATTGGCCCAGAGTCTCGTTCTGTGTGTGTGTGTTTTCTTATCAAGGCTCTGCAAGGATAAAGACAAAACGAAATGTTTGTTTAAGGTGAAACTTCTGCTATCCGCCGGAGAATTGTTTTCTGCTATTTTTAACAATAATTGAATTCCGGCCAGGACTTAAGCCCAAGCCAAAGATGGGGAATTATGTATATATATATGTATGTATGTATGTGTATGTGTGTGTTTGTGTTTTCGTGTCTAGATTAAAAGCAATTACAAAATACAAAAGCCAGACGAGATGCTCTTCATTTGCCTTTTTGAGCGTAGCATACTTTGCAGCGCTGGAATTCCAATCGGAGCCAAACAAAAAATTAATTAAGCCAACTTGTTTGGCACTTTCATAGCCACTGCATTCTACGATCCTGATTCCCTTTTTTCCCCTCCAGGGACTCTACGATTTACCCGCCATTATATTTGTCTTTGATTCGTTTCGTCAGCACTTCTGTTGACTTACCATCCCCACCTCCTGTTTGCCCAACCAAATTCTGTACAAATATCGAGGGGAAAAAATAGATTGCATTTAGGCATTGCTTTTAGTCGGTATATCTGTATATATATAAATCTATCGATTGATTGAAGAGTCGCTTTGCTTTGCTTTGCTCACTTCAGGGCACGACTCTTAATTAAATTTCTTTTGAAGTACGCCCCGAGAAGGCTGTTAATTAACGTTTAATCAGCTGAGCCTAATGAGCCATTTTCGGGCTCCTGGCTAATCGATCTGCATGAATAATTTGGCCGCACACATATATCCATGGCACCTGCGTTAGTTGTCCTAGCCCATAAATTAGAACCCATTTATTTTTCTTTTTTTTGTCGGTTTTCGCCAGCAGAGCGGCCTAAAATACTAATAACAATAATTATACGACCAAAAATAATAGCTGGACCAAGCAGAAAAGTAGTTAATTAATTAGTTTGCCAGGTTTGGCTCTCATTTATGGATGAGCAAATCGGCTGGCGAAAATGAAATTGCAAATTGAACAGTTTTGGTCCTGGTTTAGCTATCCTATCCGTTCAAACGTGACGGCTTAGATGTCCTTCGGTTCAGCCACTAAAATTAGCGTGGAATTATAACCAAATAAAGGTTCTAAAAACCTTTTTAGTTTGGAATCAAGACGTGATATTTTTATTGCAAGGCAAGCTTCACAAATTAAAGGGTTTTATTTATAAATTAATTATTATTATTTATAACAAAAAATTAAAACCAGTTTTAACCAGCTTCACAAATTAAAGGGTTTTATTTATAAAATAATTATAATTAATATATAACAAAAAATTAAAACCAGATTTTTTTTTAAGTTTAAATCTCTGAAATAAAATATCCAAATTTATTTTAATTTAAATCTTTCTTTGATTGAATCATTTCAGGTTGTTGAATATCATTGAATTGAGTTACTGAGTTGTATTTATTCAACACCTTCAGCAATTCAATATATATCTTGTCAATGTCACAATCAATAAAATTGATCGGAATAACTGGTGGGTAAGCCGAAAGCAAAATACTCCACATTGTCAACCTGTTTACTGTCGCAATAAGAATAAAACTGATTAAATTCGCAGAATAATCGTAGTTGGCAACACGCAGGATGGAGCACTTCCGCACTCTCGGGGACAATGGAAGGCATTATGAGCTGTGCTGAGTGGCTTTAAATGCCATAAAGGCAATGTGGGTCCCACAACCAATGGCAGGATATCCCCTCAAATGGCCAGCAGCTTGGCAGCTGTGGAACTACATTTGTTGGCAAACAATTCGCATCTAGCAAAAACAATGGCTAAAACATCGTTCGTGGGCGTAATCAGCGCATTCATGCATGGTGCTTACCCCGCTCTCTCCCTCTCTCTTTCTTCCATTTATTTACCTCTCTTTCTAGCCGGCATTTTATCCTGCTTACTGGTGCCATAATTAGCGGACTCCGAAAATAATTTGCAAAGCATCTATGTTATCTGGTTGTATGTGCGGCTCGCTTTATTTGGTTTTGGGTTTTGTGTTTTGTTTTCGAAAATGCTAAAAATAAATCCACCGACACACAAAAGTTGATTTATATGGTGCACGTAAATTTGCCATTAAGCGACAGACAAATGTATTGCAATTAAATGAAATGGAAGCGGTGCCACAACAGCAACAGCTGCCCACCACCTAAATGTGTGTGTATGGTGTGTGTGTTAGTGTGTGTGTGTGGGTGGCAGGGGCGCGTAAATACGCAGCCAACTTAGACTTTAATTAAGATTAATTAGTCACTGGCCGGGCAGCGAAAAAGTGCCATGTGTGAGTTAGTAGATGGCCTGCATACACATAGAAAATTCAGGACAGAAACTAAGGATAATAAAATATCATTATTTGCGATTATATCTCTAATCACTTTAACTCTTTTATAAGCAGTATTAATTAAATATATTACCTACATATATAACAATTTATACATGTCTATTGACTCACTGAAAAAATTTATTTTATTTTAACACAGTTTTTATTTGTTGAATATATTTTTAAAAATAATTTAAATAGTTTTCATATTAATTTTTTTTAAAGAATTGTTTTATCAGTAGACACTTAAAGTTTTTTTAAGAGTTTTACAAAAAGCATATATCAACGTTTTTTTTTTTTGGTTGTACATATTTTCTCAGTGCTCTATTTTACGCCATAAAGGAAGGCTACAAGCCAGCTCCTTCTCGCTGTTGCTTCAATCTATTTAGTTTTTATTAATGGTTGCGCATACGACATGTGGGCCTGCGGGGAGGGTGTTTTTGTGTGTGTGTGTGGGTTTGTGACGACAGCAACCCTTGTTCGAAAAAGTTTTTCCAGTTCGCAGAGGAAAAAACTAAATTAAATGTGGATTGCACTAATGTGACTTCCCAAATATTCCGAAGAGCTGTCACAACATCGCGTTCTTCATCATCAACTGGCAGTAATTATCGTTTTTTTTTTTGCCCAGAAATGAACTGAGACAAGGGTCTGACTGACTGCTGACTGACTGCTTCACATGCCAGTCAATTTTAGACACATTTTGTGAGCTGATTTGGTTGCCCCGCATAATTTAAAACCATTTCATGTACCCACCCACCTGTGCAAACAATTCTGCGGTAGGAAGTTGCACACAAAAAGTTGCGAAATCCAAATGGAAGGCGGAAAATTGAAAAGCAAAATCTTGGCAATCCCCCGAGGAGAATTTTCAATACACTAACCACAAAGTCAAATTTTTTCTTACCAAGGAATGGAAAATATTTATGAATTCCTAATTAAAGATTACTTTAAGCCAGGTTATATAAATATAAATTTGGGTTGGTTTAAATTTTAATGTTTCTTAACCATATATTGTGTGAAAATATCACAAAGCCACAGCTAAAAATAACTCGGAAAAAACGTGAAATCCCCAAAGGGAAAGGAATTCGCGCACACACAAAAAAAAAGCAATTGTAAGGCAATTTCAAAGGCAAAATTATTATGTCGCTTTATGTCATTTTTTTTTTAGCGAGAGCCAAGTTTTTTTCAGAGGCAACTGGCAGATGAATGTGTTGGGTGGAAATTCAGGGTGTTATGGAGGTGGAAACGGGGATTTTACGTGAAAATGACAAAGCAGCTGCTCAACAACAAACGGCAACGCATGCTCTGGCATAAAATTTATTTTCACTCCACTTCCAACATGATATGTGGCTTTAAATGTCTGGTATCTGCAGAAAAAATGAAACGAAAGAAAAGCCAGCAAACCGGCAAAAAAAAAAAAATGGAGAAAGAACGACGGCAGATATTCCAGATTCGACATCTCAAAAGGCAAAAATGGACGGGAAAACCAAGCCAAACAAATGTGTGGCATTCAAATGTCTTCCTTAGTTTCACATTGTGGTGTGTGCTTGGGTGATTGTATGTGTGAGTGGGCGTGGCAAAACATAAATTGCTTTACGCAGGGCCTCCCAACCGAAATTCAGCGAGCGAAACGGCCCAAACAATATGGCAATTGTGACCAAATATAATTTAATTGCCACCGGCAACTGTGGCAACCAGCCAGGTTAATAACAACCAATAATGGTTAATAATCACGGCCTCGGCAGCAGCAACAATTGCCAATAACTACCACACTGTGCCACAAAATAAAGATATTATAAAAGTCTAAAAAAAAGAAGGAACGGAATTTGTGATTTAAGAAATATACAATCACTGAAAATCTGCTGCCACAAAATTAAGATTTAAAAAAAAGGCTGAAAATAAGAACGAACGGAATTGATGTTTTAAAAAAAATATCTTCAAAAATATATACGTTCACTGAAAATCACCTGGTAAATAAAAGAGAAGACTTTTCAATGTTGTTTTTTGTCCCACACTAAAATAATTTTTTAGGTTTCATACTTGATCAGAAAACCAAAAGCAATAAGTTCTCCATTAAACAATTTTTTCACAAAGCATTTTATGTTTCGTTCAGTTTTAAAACCCTGTTATGGATATATTTTTTTCGCAACTTTTTCACAAAGTGTTTTTAAAACTATAAAACCTATTTGGAAGGGGAGCCTGAGTAGTAAAGCCATAGAAGCCCGAGGCTGACGTGATAAGCATAAATTGCATTAAAAGTGATGCAAAAAAATTGCATCTACCACAAAACCAGGAAAAACCAGGGGACTTTGCGTCCGCCCACAGGGATCTCTCGTTTTTCCGCTTCATCAGTATTGGCATCATCATCATCATCACCATAAATCAGAAAAGTGCAGCATGTGCAGCGCACTTTCCACACTTTCCATTCGCCCTTTTCTTTGTTTGCCTTGGCAATTTGTAGTCAGCATGTTGCCGGGGCCGAAAAGCGAATGCGAGCACTTCAGCTCTATTTCTCTGTCAAATGCAATAAACCAGAGATCCTTTTGTGTGGGCACTACCACCTACTACAAGATGCCTCTAAAACAACAACAACAACAACAGAATTGCCTGGCCAGGACAATGGGGCAAAAGGACCATGAGTAATGTGGCCCGAGCATGCAAAAGTGCCGAACTGAAAGACCGGAGAAGCAGTTCCCCAGTGATAAATGCG